ATTAAAATGGCTTTGCCAGGTCTGTGGTGCCAGATATGTGGGATGCTGCTTGCTGACTGTGCTGGCAGTTCATGTTCCATGTTGTCTAGATTTTTAATGCTCAGCAACTTATGACTTCCTAGGACTGAGCATTCTTCAAGCTGACACTTGCACCCATATTCACAGCACTGATGTGTACACATCAGTTATTGCACACAAGATTCCCAGCACAGTTTTTACTGATACACAAAGATATATATGGCTCAGGAGAGAAAGGTCATCCCTTGTGGAAGGTAAATTGGAAAAGACAAAAACCACTCTCTCAGGTGCAGAACCTGCTGTTCAGCTGCCAAACACCAACACTGCCATTTCCTGAGATCTCCATGGTAACCAAGAGGGTGTAATTACAAAGATGTTTCCTGGACCTTTGCTGTATGTCACTCCCTGCCCCAGCCTATAATTACTTATCAGGGCACTTAGCAGAGACACTTTTGAGTAAGGAGACAGCAAAGGAGTCTTCCCATTTCTCTTGGTTACTTCCAGGTAGGAAAGGCAAAGCTCTATGAGCCTCAGGGTTGAGACCACTTTCAGGAATTTGGATTTGCTTTTGACAGAGAACCAGACCGAACATTTCACTCGCATGACTCACAGCTAAACCACTACTACCTCAATCAGAACTTCCCTTTTAAGGCGTGTTACAGGAAGAACTCACACCACTCACTAAACAAAGCTGAGCCCCACAGCTGAGCCAGCCAAGAGCTTAAAAGCACCTTTTTCCATCTTCTGCTCAGGGCAATTCGTTCTGCTTTGTCATTTCTCAGCTCAGACTTGCAGTGGCTGATACTCAGAGAGCTATTTCTAGAGAGAAAGTAGTGATGCCACTTAAAACTTGCACAAAAATCAAGGTATTTTTACTTGTCTACTATATGTAATCTTTCACACAGAAAGGAGACTTGTGAATCTTGTGTTCATCCTGAGGCAAAGCATTGGCCTCGAAGATCCTTGGGGATCTCTTCCAACTCAGGATATTCTATGGGATACATGAAGAGTAGTTTGAAAACAATTCAAAGGGACCAAGTTATTTCTCATCTTGCACTGTGAGGTTTCCCAGCACCCACATCCATCTCTGATGACTCCCAGGAGGAGTGTCAAAGCAGTGGATGCAGAAACATTGTGGATCATAGAATCAGAGATTCATAGAATCAACTGGGTTGGAAAAGACCTCCAAGATCATCAAGTCCAACCCTACTGTGGTCACTAGCCCATGGCACTAAGTGCCACATCCAGTCTCAGCTTGAAAACCTCCAGGGATGGTGAATCCACCACCTCCCTGGGCAGCACATTCCAATGCCTGAGCACTCTCTCCCTAAAAAATCTCTTCCTAATATCCAACCTAACCCTCCCCTGGCAGAGCTTGAGTCTGTGCCCTCTTGTCCTGCTGCTGGTTGCCTGGGAGAAGAGACCAACCCCCACCTGACTCCAACCTCCTGTCAGGGAGTTGCAGAGGGTGAGAAGGTCTCCCCTGAGCCTCCTCTTCTCCAGCCTGAACAACTCTACCTCCCTCAGCCTCTTCTCATCCTCTCCTCACCATCTCCTCCCAGATGGTGCCAGTATGCAAGATTATATATAAGACAGGGATTTCTTTTCCTAGTGGGCTGTATGTAGCAATATAGACATGATCACCTTGATTTCTTAATACAAATAGACCTAAACTTTGAGTGAGACTCCCTAGAGAGAAAAGGAAAAGCCCAGGATGACAATACCTGGCACATCCTACAATCACAGCCTTACCTAGAGCCATCACACACTGAGAGCAGCAGTGCAAATCCAGAGATTTGGGGGTGTTAATGTCACACACTGCCATGCAATAGTATCACGTATCAGAAGTAACTAAGCTTCACTAAAATCCATTCCTTTCCAAAGAGCAGGATGGAAAGCAGAGCTTTAATCAGCTTCTATTCATAAGCACTTCCATTGTAAAACACAAAGCCTTGGCATGGCCTCCAGTTTGGCATCTACAGCACAGCAGGGAAACCAAAAAATACACTCAGTTTAGAGCCACAAAATGGAACATGTCTGAGAGCTACAAACTCTAACACAAAAAAAAAAGGTTCCCCAGAAAGCTCCACAGGGCAAAAAGAAGTGTATGAGTCAGGACAATACAAAAAAAAAAGTTCCCCAGAAAGCTCCACGCAGCAAAAAGAAGTGTATGAGTCAGGACAAGGTAGTTTGTTTTGGTGAATGGAAAATGATGAGAAAACTGTCCAACTGCAGCTTTTTGTGCAGCAGAAAGGGAAAAAAAAAAGTACAAGGTAGAAAGGAAGCAAATGTTTGTGGCCTGGGTGAAATTTTGCCTCTTACCTCTTCTTGCCTCTTCTCATTTCCTGCAATTTTGGCACTTTGATCTGTGTCTGCTAATGCAGATGAGAGAAGGTTTGGTGCCTAAGAAGTCTCCGAGTTCACTGGCAGCACCCAGAGCACTGAGAGCACTGAGAGCAGAGACACTGCTGTGGCACTGGGGGGGACAAAACTGGCCCTAGAGGCAGAAATCTGCCCCTTGTGAGTGCCCAAACCAGGCAAGGAAAATGGGGCTGGGGGGAGCCATAAACAGGTCACTCCCAGCCCCTGAGCACAAAGGGATGCAGAAACACCTTCCAAAGATTGAAGTCCATGTGGAAACCCAACAGAAAACTGGTTGCTCTGAGCAGACACAGCCTGGACAGAAATGACTGTGAGAGGTGCTGGAGGAAATAGGGGTTTCTTTGTAACCACAAGAGGATGACAAACAAAGCATCACAGGGCTGGGGATTTTTTTTGGACAGAGCTTATTCCCTTGACCTTTTTTATTTTTTTCTGAGGA